CCCCAAAACCCCAAAACCCCAAAACCCCAAAACCCCAAAACCCCAAAACCCCGTTGGGTGGTTAGAGCATTGAAATGGAGATTTAGGAAGGATTTTGGGGAAATATGGGGGCGTTTTGGGGTGAGAAAGGGGAAAGAGGAGATGGAGAGGGAATAGAGTGGTGAATAGGGATTATGGTGATAGGAAAATGTATTATTTGGTAGTTTTCTGTCAAAAAACTATTTTTATTAGCATAAAATCATCTTGAAAAATTGCTCCTTCTCATCAAATTATCTTTCTTTTCTTGTGATTGGTACCTCTACGACTCCAAAGATGGAGATAACTATAAGAAAGACTTATATGCTTATAATAATGCTAATTGGCTATCTAAAACTAGCCGTTTACTTCAAAATCATAGGTTAACGACAAATATTATTCCAATATTGTCCATAATGGACGATCAAAGACATCCTCATTATGTATGAAAGCTAGGAAGGGGATTTAAAATTCATAAAAAGAAGTCTAGCCATCCTCCCTTACTCCTTGCTTCTTAGAAGCTTTATTTGGTGATGCATCAATTGTAGAAAATCTTCAATTTCTGCAAAAATTCTGACCTGATTTCTCTTAAAATTCAGAGAGAATGCAGAAATATTTCCTAAACTTTTCAAATAAATTAAGGCTCTTTTGCTGAGGCTGAACTCCCTAAAATATGAAAACAAATTTAAATTGCCTTTTTAGAATTATTTGCCAAAAATTAACTGAACTTGCTAAACTTCCATTAAAAGTTCTTCAGGTAAAATTTTGAACGAATCTTCGTGTCAGGAATTATATAATCTTCCCAAATTTTCTTGTTATAAACTGATTACGGTTAGGTCCTTCATGGGTGGTAGAGATCCTGTTTGTGGTTTACATACTTTCTGCCTGGCCAAGAGGAAGAGTTTATTCAGGGATAGCATCTCATTTTGGGTCAAAAAGAAGATGATAAATCATTTGGCATGTTTAGTAAACACATATTTCCAATTTTATTAATCTGAGTGTCTAGAAGACTCTTTTAAGAGTTATTTTTAAAACTCTGTTAAAAATAGCATGGTTACTTGAGAGTTAGCCTTGTTATATCTCTCTTCTTGAGGAGTTTTAGAAGGGTTTAGAGACATATAGCTTACCTCTCATGCTCGAAAGAAGAGATGCTCTCTAATTATTGCTTCTGCTCTATTATAAAAATGTAACATTTAAGGTATGTCTTAGATTGCACTTTCAGACTCTGCGAATGGGATGTATGGATCAGTGTGTTAATTAAATCACATTGCAAGACTCCTCAATTCCATAGCATAAGGAAATCAAGATTTTGGAAAATTAAAATGGGTGATGACACCTCTATTCTTTTCTCGACTTAGAATCTGTAAGCAGAATAGAGCTCACTAACTTGTTATTATTTACTAGAATTCTTTCCCAAATTGTGACAGCAACCAGTGGAATCTTCTCTATCCGGACTTGTGTGTGAGTACACGAAATTTTGGATTTTTATGGCTTAGGTTTGCTTGGTAACAAGAAGCCTTATCCTAGCAACCTTGAAATATTGCTAATAACATTTTCTGGATATCCTAGTTGTCTTCAGAGCAAGGGAAGAATCAAGAGGACAGGCATTGGCAAAAATCTATGAACTATTGACTCTAATGACCATCTATCTCCGTGAAGATAAGATATGTTTATGGATTTTAAATTATGCTAATTCCTCTATATTTTTTAATGACTCGTGAACTTGGCTTGTCATAATTTCTATAGTTACAGCTTTAGATAAACTGAGAAGAATGGTAGCCTGAGATTTCAGAGTTATTCATAAAATTAATAAATTTTGAGATTACTCCAGTTGGAAATCCTTTTAGCCATAAATTTCGAGCAGTTTGATAATTTGTTCTCGAACACTCTCTAATATTTTTAAAGAGGAAATAGTGAATTTTTACTTCTATTTTGTCTCTAGCAGACACTCTGATCGACTGCTAAAGACCTGGATGTAATGAGGCAAGGTAGAGATTTTAAACCTTCCAAACTATCTTTCTGAGCTATAGCATGCTAGTTCCTGATGCAAAAGAAATACCTCATTATCACTCTCAGTAAAATTATTGCGCTTTGGCTAGTAACTAATGCCTCATTGAGATATTTCAAAAATGTCAAAGATGGATAGGATAGTTTCTTGGTTTTTACCATTAATTAATAGCTTGTACTCATCCTAAAAGTTAGAAGAAGGCTCTTTGTAACCATAATTCCTCAAAAATAGTACATCCGAGAGGAATTTATAGCAAAATCTACCTCTATGACCTCTTTGGGTTGGAGTCTGCTAAATTTAACCAAAGGATTAATAGTAAAAACCTTGTTGGTTTAATTAAGAATGATACCAGTCCCTCTTAGCTTAAGAAGGGAGGTACAAGTTTTGATAGTCATCATGTTCCTCTCCATTAAGAGTATTAAATGCTAAAAATATCTCTAATACAATTCCAAATCTTCTTTTCAGCAATAGAAGGATCACTTTGCAAAAGAAATAGGTTTACCAACCGATCTGGAACAATAAATTTGTATGAATCACTTTTGAAGATGATTATGATAAGTTGCAAGAACACCTCTTTATACTTTTATGCTGAACGGAAAATCTGATATCTCTCTTTGTCTTAAGTAAAAATAATTTTGAGTCTAGAAACTCCAGTTAAATTTTTTTGTCGATATCTAACTTTGAAAAGTTTAATTTCCCATTGTCAGCCAGAACTGCTAGTAGAGCCTTTGTTTAGCCACTTTTAGAATTTTTTTAACAATTTTAGTTATAAATAATTATTATGAACTTTCATACGAATAATGCCTGAATTCCAAACTTTTAGATAATTGAAAATAAGCTCATTTGAGAATACTAGAGCTTAAAATGAACGCCATCAAAGTTCTTAGGCCTTGTAGAATGATTGATAATCATTATCTTACTGATCTGTAGTCATTAGTGATAAATGAGTCTCTTCCTGTGTCTGCACACTTCTACCCCATGAGGTGTACCCAATTGCTGAAGTGGTAATCAGCCAATAAAATATGACTTTCTCTGCATTAAAATCTTAGATGTACTACAGTCAGAATTTCATAGAAGGAAGAAGATGCCCTTCAAGAATTATCAGTTCATTTGAGTGGAGGTCCTAAATTTTAACAAAGAAATATTTTTCTATGATTCCTCAACTGTAGGAATAACAGTACTTGGTTTTATGCTTGCCATTTCCTAAATTTATTGAGAAGATATGCTAGCCAGTACTATCGTCAAGGAATCTTCATAATTTGGTGATTCCAAAACCGTGTGCCTTAGATGCAATCAAATGTGTACAAGATACTGTATTTTAGATCATTGTGAAACTTTGGCTTCTTAACAATTCAGAATGACGGAGTTATCTAAAGCATTGGCTTGTATGAGCAGAACGGAGAATCAATTTGCTTCAATAATGAAGACCCTTGGTAAGACGGACAGGCAAAATAACTGGCATCTTCCTTCTCCTTAACCCAAAAACTGAACCTCTGAATGAAGAAAAATGATTCAATACTGCAATTAGGACTAAGATGGAGCTTAAATTTAGGTAAAATATTAAAAACTAGAGGATTTGAGAGATGAATTAGCTTTTACCCAACCTTAAAACCTATCCTATTAATAAGAGTAAATCTCAAGAAAGTGACAATGTTTACTGGAATTTTTAAAACAATCAATTAATTATAAGTAACTGTATTGTGAGTGAATAAAGGATCTTTCCCAGAGCAAACCTGGGAGTATACTTCATCATTTCTGATGTCTAGAGAAGAGTCATTCATCCATGGATGAGTGAAAATCTCTTCACAAGTTGGTCTCATGCTAGGGTCAGGGTGGAGCATGAATGAGATCAAATTCATTACACCTAGCTCTTCTTCAAGTTCATTCATTCTAGCAAAAGACTCAGAATTATTAGATAAGGAACTTATGCTATCTCCTGAATTATTAGTCGAAATAAAGTCATCATTCTTATTATTTTCCTTTGAGTAAGGATGCTTCATTGTTAGCATTATTAAGAGTGTCATTCCTAATGAGTAAACGTCAGCTTTGTACATGTTATACGGCTTTTGGAGCTTTTTCATATTCTTTATTTCAGGAGCCATAAAACTATCAGTCCCTTTCTTCCAACAGCAGAGACCGTCCTGGCGGACATCTTCCTCTATTGTTCCAAAATCAGCCAGTCTGATATTATAGTTCTCATCAAACAGGATATTCTGAGGCTTAATATCCAAATGAGCATACCCCAAACTGTGAATATATGCTACGGCTGAGAGAAGTTGTGTGAAGTAGAATTTTACCACAGGCTCAATTAGCGCTCCATTTCTTGCTAATAAATGGGAAAGTGTCCCATTCACACAAGTCTCAAGTACAAGATAGGTTCATTCCTCAATGACTCCGTTGTCTTCTCTGCACCCATTCTCTTCCATGTAGTAAGAAGTGAGAATATTTGGGTGCTCTGAGAAGAATTGCATGGCTTGATGCTCTTTCTGAGTAGCTTCTATGACTTTTTGATTCATACTAGGGTTTTTATTGGCCATCACTTTCACTGCATATTGTCTACCATCACAAAACTCTGCAAGGTAAACCTTTGAAAATCCTCCGCTTCCAAGTGGTCTTATCAAGGTTAGGTCGTCAATTTGTTGCATATCTATAAGCAAAGAGTAAGAAGTTGAACTCTTCAGGATCAGCAATTAATCGGCGAAATCTAAAACTTCCCAAGAATCTTAACATATTTGCTTACCTTTAAAAATATTTATTATTAACTTGTAGAAATTTTCTCTCTTTAAGTAGTTTAGTACCGAGATGGCAAGGTTTGGATAGAATCAAAAACCGCTTCTAAGCAAGCCAAAAGACCTCAAAGACGTATTTTAAAGTGCAAGCACCTATTTTATTCTAAAATGTTGGCAATAGAGGAGGTAAATTAATTAAGTCACCCAAATAAAGTAGGGCCTACTGAGATCAGTTGGTAAATTGAAACAGGTAAGCAGAGCCTCTTTTTAAATCAAACAAAGAAAGAAGGTTTGAACACTCTTGGTTGAAATAAATTGCTTAGCTTACCATGCATCAGTTGGAAAGACAAATTTTTAATTTTAGCACTCATCTATCGAAGAATAGGAACAAATATCAAACATGGTTTATATGTTCAAAATTTCCCATTTTATCCAAGGCCTATTTGAAAACGAGGGTAAGAAAAGGGCTCAAATAACCAATAAAGGAGCTCATATGAAACAGAAGAAAGCTCCCTTGGCTGAGGTTACCTCCTTTTCTTTATTCATCAATCCATACGAGTGGATTATGTAATCGAAGATGGAGCAAAGAAACACTCTAACCATTAGAATCATCAGCTGAAGGGATTAAAAGTTATACTATGACTAAAATTTATTTCTTGAGCTTCAGAGATATTTGCTCTAGCTTAGGTCTATCTCTTTTTATTAAAAATGTTTGAAATTTCTCTCACCTGCTAGACCCATGGTTCATGAAGGAAAAATTCATCAGAAAATTCTTCAGATAATTCCAATGGGCGGGACTAAACGAAAGATCTGTGGGAGATTAATCAGAATTTTCAAAGCTTAAGAATTTTATGGTGAAATCGAGTTTAGATCTATACCTTGCTCAAATGTTCTGTTTTTAAAGTCTCCTTTAAATTCAGAAATGGATTTTTCAGAGATTTTTACTCAAAGATTCATCGATAAAAAGTTTATTATCCTATTGGTTGGTACTGTAGACTTCACAAAATGTTAAAAGGATTGACTGCTAATCAAATACTGGTTTTACAAGTAAAAGAGTACCCTTTTTGTACCCCTCAGAAAATTTGAATAAAATTACTGTAATTTCACCAGAAAAACTTTGATAACTTGCCTCTAATTTTGAAGGTGAAGATGAGCATGGAGAAATCCTTATCTAATCATAAAATTCAATGCTAGGCCTTTCATGAGAAAAGAGTATAGCTAAGACAACGTCACATAGAAGGTCCCTCTAATGATTGGTACTATCGATTAATTTTTACAGTTCCTTTACCTGTGTGGTGGGGCTTTATCAACTGAATTAATTTTATGACGATTTAGAAATGGGTAAAAACCTAGATTTTGTCAACCAGCCTACAGTAAATCTGAGAAAAAATATTTTTACGAAGCCTTCCAGTTGTCCTCTAATGTACTAATTTTAGGGAAAAGACTCTGAAAACAGAACATCTAAAGATTGTTATTGAAAAGTAAGCTTGCTTAACTTATAGGTTGATTTTTGATCAAAAGTTTTTTGAGGGATCTATCAATATTTCCTGAAAGAAAACAAATGAAGCAAAGAAAAGTTTATTTTGCCTCTCTACTCAACCTAGCCAAGTATCTCCTAAGTTTTAATATTTGTGTCACCTCTTCACAGGCCTTTGGCATATTATTAGGCTAAGGCTGAAAATCGGAATTGCACCAAAGATCTAACAAGTTAGAAATGCTTTCTAAGAATATTTCAGAGATGGTCTTGCTTACAAAATCTGCATACTTTGTGACAAATACTAAGTGACTTCAAGCTTCAGCATATTGTCGTAAAGTATTGGTTATATAAATGTGTTGCAAGATATGGAAATTAATAGGGCAATTTTCCCTGCTGAACTTTATTAGGAATGAACTAATTTCCTATTCAATCACCTAACAATGTATCTGGATGCTCCTCCCACGCAGTAGAGGGCTATATCCCATGAAGATAGCAGTGTTGGGGAAGTCTCAGATAGATCTGGCTATTTTGTGTGTCCTTACTGTATTCATACTACTTCCATAAATTGTCAATATTTTACAGAAATCAATTTGGAAATAATAATAAGGGGTTTTGGGGTTTTGGGGTTTTGGGGTTTTGGGG